AAACCTCCTTCCCCTAGTTTTTCCTTAAAGCCATTTGTCAACTTCTTGATATTTGAGTAAGAATACCTTACTGACATAAGGTCATTGTGACTTTGCAAGAATTCTTCAATAGAATCATACATAGATAAATGCCTTCTCTGCCATTTATATAACAGAAACAGGATGAAGCTTGGAATTGCAGGAGCAGATGCCACCCCATGAAGTACATCTGTGAGTATAAAAAGATATTTATTAATATAATTGGTTATGAAATAAAGTATCCGATAAATATTGCATGCTTCTCCTAGAGTTCTTAATATTTTTTTCTTATGATCTCATCAAATGTACTTGAATTTTTCATGCTTCATGATTCAAGACAGTGCAACATGGATAAATGAAAAACGTAGCTCCAGAAGAGAAAGGTTCTAATTACCTAATACGAGTGCTGTGTAGGATAAATAAGTGTAATGCATGGCCCAAACTGCAACAGGTACTATATACCAAAATCAGAGAGAAGCAAGACATTGAATTTGCATACAGTTCATTTTTAAAAAAAGGACCCAAAATTAGCGAGTTACATTTGCATGTGTTTAATCAACGGGCAACATATGTTCGTTACGTACCAATCCATATAGAAGGGCAGGGAAACCACCAAAGCTCAAAATCCATATGATAACTGATGGTGAAGATCTAGGTAGGTAATGTTATTATCACTCATCTCTCTTGAAGAACAAAGAACTATCAGCTCAATCCGGCATGACTTCTCTAATTCAAATGCTGTTGTTCTTCCAATCTTAGCATAATAATACCTTTTTAGACTTGGACAAAGTAGTAGCATCAATGCAAGAGGAAGCATCCACGTAGCGAATATCATTTACTGGTTTTCCACAGTTTAGGAAAAGATGAGCTTTTCCAGGATGAAAGTAATATGGATTGCTGTCTGTTGTGACCTTATCAATGCCAAGGGAATAGAGAGGTAGTGAAGAATAGTTACCTTGATTAACATCAGGATCCACAACTTTGATCATTGAGTGATTATAATCAATTTCCTGCACATACAATTTTTCGAATTAGGGTGTAAAACTGTGACATTGTTCAAGCAAAATTGATGAGAATCAAGATGACAGCACAGATATGACATCAACTGAACCATTGTATATTCATGGAAGTCTGATAATGAAAGCAAGAGTTAAAAAGATACAAAAAGCTGTAAATGAGCTTATTGAGGAGATTTAGGCTAAAAGTAACACACAACAAGTGAATAAAAACTTGAAGCATTGTTAAGATTTAGTTAACATTTTTTAAGTCCAAGAACAACTTATTTGAGGTCGTTTTGACTTAATTACATAGTTTGGATTGAAATCA